CCAGTTACACGACTGCTGCATCTCTTACAAAGAGACCTCTGACATTCTGTCATCGGTCACCCCACGATTGACTCAGTAGAAAATTAACATCAAGATTTGTCGACTCTTGCTATCGTCGTCGTCGAACAATGAGAGTTTGGTAAGAGCTCAAGGGAGAGAGAGAGAAACAAAATGCCTCCCAAGGGAGGATGTGTACAGATAGCTGGTGTAGCTAGCATAGTTGGTTGGCAGCGTGTCACGTCAATAAAAGAGTCATCGTCGCTTCACTCTCAGGCGACACTTTCTTCCACCGCAACACACAGCCGCAAGCAACGTATTATCCCTTTTATCGCTATTATTTAGGGTTATTGCGAGCTTTCCCTTCCCTCTTATTACTTGATTGCGAACATATATACGTCGCACGCACGATGGTGCGCAAGAGAGCACGCGCTTGATGAGAATGAAATAGTGCCTTAAAGATCGTCGTCCTGGTTTGGATTCTTAACTGTAATAGCTCTTCGCACGCGTTCTCATGTTGTAGTTCAATAATTCCAATACTAAGTTTTATTACGTGATCTCATTCGACGGAATGCTCCTCTCCTTTCCTTCTTTCTTACGGCTTTCACTACTATGCCCGAGTAAAGTCATAGCTTTGGATTTGATGCGTATTGTGAGTCGGCGAGCGTCTTTGACTAATAAAAAGACTTGCATGCCTTTTTTCATTAAACGCAATTAATTATGCGGCGTTATAAGAAAAAAGCCAATTTTCTTCTCATACTTGGATAAACTTTCGCTCGGCTTTTCATTTGTTAGCGATCTCCAGTGTTAGCCCTACGAGTGAAGCGTCGCATTGCAAAGTTGAGTTGGAAAAAGAAAATTTCAAGCGAGCGCGCGAATTGATGATTCATGGCTAATGCCATCTGATTCGCCCGGGGAAAGCCGTGAGGCTGCATTTATCGCGGGTAAAGGAAACGGAAAACGATTCCGAAAATCCATCCAAGTGGTTTGCAGAATAGAAAATAGAAGAGAAAATTGCGAGTCGACGTGCAGCAGGCGAAGAGACGAATCACGAGAAGCAGAGAGAAGAGATAGAGGGACATTTGAAAGTTAAATGGGCCGTGGATAAAATAAACACGAGGCATGAAAGCCGAACGCTGAGCTTTTTATCGTAAGCTGGAAATCTCTTGCGCTTTACTGCGCCGCGGCATTTGGCGCAGCGCTATGCTTGGCTATGAAGGCAATTAGAAAGGAATCGATAAAACTTTTTGCGTGCATTAATTTTCGATGCACGTATTGTATATATATAATAATTGATCGAGGCCAATCGTTACTTCGCAAATGCTTGTTAGATAATCGGTTAATCTGTTAACAATGACTTCAAGGACTCATCAACAATCCAACTCACTCTTCGACATCAGATGATAATTGAAGGCACGAAGATTGCACCAAGCGCAAACATCGTCGAGGTCTTCGCGGGGCTGAGTTTCCGCTTCAGTGGGAGTGCTAGGGAAACTTGAAGATTCTTGGCGGCGAATCCAATGTCTTGCCCGTAACATTGACTCTACAGTAGCGCATGCACACGCGTATACGCTGCACATTTCCTTTCATGCAAAGACCATTCCGAAACCCAAGCGGCGGTTGCCCCGAAACTCCATTATCCTTAATTATAATCGCGTTTAATCGCAAACTCATCGGAGCCCCCTTCGGCTGATGCTTTACGGTGCGCGCATATTATGCTCGAGGTTGCTGATTATCAATCAAGCCAAGCCTTGCCCTCTCCTACTCTCCTAAAGTTTACGGTCGAACGGTCTTGAGCTTATCGTCTCTGTATACCGTGTACCAGCAATCTTAGGGTGTGCTGTGTTTTTTCGCCCTTTATGCAGATTAACTTTTATGATGACGTGTGCGATGATAACACTAACGAACCGAGAGAGCGATGTAGTTTGATGAAAGCTAGTGCATTTGTCGCGAAGAAAGATAATCGAGCGTCGTGAAAGTAAACGGATATCTTATCAAAGTTAGTCTATTTCATGGTGAACGGAAACTTGCCTCTCTTACCGGAGCAGTAGTCGTAACTTTCACGTCCGTGGCTTGCGCACTTTGGTCAAGTTTAACTCTCTGACTTAATAAGGATTTCCAATTGTCCGTGGCATCTGACTATTTGTGCTGAGCTACCAAAACATCTAGATTTTCAGGAGATCTGAAGCCGTTCAAATATTTCGTGTCGATTTCCAAATTACAGCGTAATCCAGTTTAAATTTGCTTCTATAGATCTGTTCGCTATCGAATTTGCTTTCTTCCTATTCTCGGTGATAAATACCATGGGGTCTTTAAATATACAATGCGGTTTGCCGACAGCGAAGAAAGCTAGGATGGATCTGTCTCTGGATAGCTATCAGTAATGCGTTCAATTGCTGAAAGCCATCGATTCACCATCTATGAATGAGGAGGGTCTAGCGAACGTGACGGGAAATAAAGAAGATCCGAGAGTTGCCCGGAAATTACAGGCTCCGAAGAAAAGTGCCCCCTCTTGAGTGGGCGCCGGTCAAGTTTATCTTCTGGGTCAGTCCGCTCTCTGCTCTGTTCGCCGACGCGAAACCTTTCTCGACTTGGAAAAAGAATCTTACAAGTGAGTTTACTCTTGGTAAGCAAAATATGCTGCTTGCTAAATTAAAAGCTAACTTGTCCTTAATTCATTTGATAGTTGCTCGACCCGTTGCTTGGTAGCTCTCACGCGTAGAGATGCGACTGACAATTTTTTTTCATAGGTATCTCGCAGTCATTTTCGTTGTCGGTAAGAGCATTTTACTAAATTTCTATCATATTACTTTTCCATAGAAAATAATAATGCTATTTAAAATTGAATGATCATGCAATTTGAAATGAAATTTTTAGCAGTGTTACTAAAAAATATTTTCCCAGAAAGGAACTATGTTCCAAAGTACTACATGAGAATCACGTTGCAGAGAACTTGTACCACACAAAAGTTGAGCTACTAGGAAAGCTCATACCGAAGCAGTAAAAATTAGCTGGGTTCATCATAGGAACGTACTTTGAGACAGTGGTAGAGAAGAGTCTTGTTGCCCTTCGTTTCAGAAGCTAAAGCTATATAGCGAGAAGAATGAAAAAGTCTTAGAGGTGCATTAGAAGCGAGAGTCGCGTGTCTGCTGAATGTTTACGACGTACGTAGCCACTTTCTCACGCAAACCACTTAGCTAAACGGCCGCTCGTGCGAGACCATCAGCTGCTGCCTTTGCTAAATGAAGAAAAAAGTGCAGAAGAGTGCTTTGCTCGCCTCTATTTGCCAAATAGCAACTTCGGTACACTCCCTTCTCAGAAAATTAGCGAGTTTAGAAGTCGAACTGCGTCATAACAGTTCTTTTCATCAAAGTTTTTATCATTTGCTTCGAAGTTTTCGAAACTGCTTTCTTTTTTTTTATCACGCGATGCAGTCAACTCGAATTTACCCCGAGAGTGCAAACGAAAAATACAATATAGGATTCACATAGGAAATATTACTTTTCGATAATATATAGCTTGTAATTCATCGCAAGATCGTCGATGGTTAACAAGACACTTGAGTTTCTCCGAAGCTAACTTGACTTGCACAAATGCTCGCCTGAAATGGTTCCCTCCCAAATGTATAGCGATACAGCGTAGAAATCTAGCAGGGGAAGCAGGCTTTCTCTCGCTCTGACTTTACGGATTCCAAACACGCGACGTGAAGATGCCCAAGCGTAGTACTATTCAATCACTCACCTTGCTTTCTTGTTCGCGCGCAAGGGCTTAGTTAAGACCGAGCTTTGTGTGTTTACAGATTAGTTGCAAGGCTAAAATACAGTAACTCGGAAGGATTGGAAAGCCGTGGATTGTAAAGCTTTGTATTTCGTATTAAAAACGACAAGTGTTAAACGAAGTCATAAATTACGCAATGTAGATCGAGCTGATGATTGATTCATTGGTTTTTGCGATGTTACAAGATTAAATTTCATGCTCAAAATTTAGGGGCTATGCAAACGTTATAACGTAAAATTTTAAGCCAGTTGATGTCCAGTAGTGCAATATTTTTTCATTGCTGTTTGCTGTTTGGTCTACCAGTGCTTCTCCTACGTAATCCGTACTTTTTCAATTCCTGCTCTATCTTCCGTTGCAAAAACACTCAAATCTATTTTCAAATATTCATTGCAGAAAATATGGAACGCTTTTAAACTAATTACTATGCAGGTTCCGATTGACTCTCTGAGAAAGTAAAAGACGTTAAAGTCCTTGTTGCGGATTCTCGCGATGGACGCATCGCTTGCTTCTTCACAGTCGTGTTGCGCGCATTGCTGACAATGAAAAGCGTTAGGCAACATCGCGCATCACGCACGCGAACTTTCCAGCTGAAGATGAGCAAGTGTTCAGCGCTTGGTGCGTGCACGAGGGTGAGAAGCTTCCTTTCGCTGTCTCCTGATTTATGTCGTCTTATTTTTCGCGCACGCGCGTAGCTTACGCGAAAGGCCTTGCAAAGATAAATCGTGAAATATTGAGCTTGCAGTCTGGAATAAAAAGCCAGAGGGAAAATAAAGATGAGCCTCGCAATTAGAGAAAGTGACGCGTTTGGTAAGTTGGTTCGCTGCCAGAAAGATAGAAAGCGGACCGAGGGACGGACGTGAAAACAGCTATATACAAGTCTAATGAAATTGCTCCTGTAATTTGTTCGGACGAGATGAACAAGAAATATATTCTGTCATGATGACACGTATAACCGATAGGCGGACCATCTACATATAAATTTGATAGCAAACGGCTAAACATTCGGCCTGTTACCATCGGACAAACGTATTTTCGCATTGATCTGCGCGCATTTGTTCACGTGTCCGTTGCTGTTTCTTGTCAATTTCTTGCCTGAAATGCTCTCGAGACAAAGTCGATAGCGCACGAGATCGCACATCAGCTTTTATTAGCGGTAAGCCGAGTACTCGCACGCTCGCGAACGCTCAGTCATTCATAAGACGCCCGAGAGAAGGTGTGAGCAAACAAGGATCCTCGTAGCAGCTCAGCGATTAAATATTCAGTACTACATCTTGTCGCTTGACGTTTCCTCTTACATCGCCGCCCTCGCCATGTCGCCAAGTTTTGGTAAGCTGTTGATAACAATGCACTCTGAGAGAGGCCGAGCTACTTCGGTAGCACGAGCACGGGAGTCAATTAAAAAACACTATCCTCGCCCGGTATAACTTTGAGTTTCGTCAAATTTTACGCCGACGAGAATTTCCAATTGCAAACTGCGGCTCCACATTAATTTTTCAAGCACGATCTCAGCCAGTCTCTCGTCAGAGAGGGGGATTACATGTGCATTTTTAATGCGGCCTAACTGCTCGTTTGATTTCTTATCGTAGCCGTTTGAGCTTACTGTTTCTACAAACACACAGCTACAGTTCAACATACAGCGGTGTCTGTTTAATTTTCACCACATATGGCCGAGCAAGGGATATATATTGTTCGCGCGTGGCTCCTTGTTTGCGGTCGCGCACACGCTTGGCATTGTTGGGCGCTTGATTAGAGTCGCACTACTACTGCTTCTGAGCCGGACGTTCAGAAACAAGTGCTGACTTGAATAATTGCAGGATATTGGCATTGACCGCAATTAATGAACAGCTGATTTTTTATTGGTTCGTTAAAAGAAGCACGATCCGCGTATTAGAGGCCTAGTGTCGCAGCCAATTAGCGTTAATAAGCGACGATGAATCCAAAGAGCTTTCGATCGTTCAAGTGCCACGTCAAAGTTCAGCCCGTACCAAACGACGGAATTTCCTAACAAGGGAAGCGAGCTACGATTCTGCATTATTGTTGCCGGTCTATCTGCCGGATAGCTTACCGATGAAATTCGCAATCATTAATTTTAATGCAAGCAGCGGCGCTGGCGTTCGTTACAATTTACGGGTGGAGTACTGGCGCACGAGGCGAACGATTAATGTTTCAGAAAACGTTCGGCTTGAGCGACAGCCGGATATTTTATTCAGACCGCGGATAAAGCGATCCCTTTTGCATTTTGATACCAGCGGGCACTTGGTTCCTTCTTTTTTTCTCTTCTCTTTACTACTGCTTGGCGATCGCGAGCCCAAGCCTAAAGTGAGTGTCAGCGCCGATCAGTATGCGGCTGGGCGTTTTTAAATTTCCCCTGGGAGCTGAGACTACGAGAAAGGAAAAAGAGTCAGGAAAAAATGGGTATAAGTGGGCTGGAAGGAAATGGAGAACATGCGTGTGTGTGAGAGAGAGGGGGGGGGGCAAACTCACACTTATTGTGCGAAGTAAACGTATGATGTAGTGTTTATTTGGTTTTCCAAGTTTGTGTTGCAAATCCGCATGAATAAACTTTAGCGCCAGGCGTTTAACTTGGATTTTGATGTTGAATTATGTCGAGCTTTACCAAAGCTAAGTTTTGTGCACGCGCTTGAATGAAAATTTAGTGATTGTGTTTTGGACTACTGCCTTCTATATTGAAATTAATCAGGTGAGTTAAGTTTGTGAATTTATTTGAATTTGCGATGGCTTTCACGCATGAACAAAGTTACGAATGAAATATCGCAAGGTTAATTGCTATTCATAATAATCCATGTAAAGCTGGAAAGCCCATTGCGACAATAATTATATACACACTGATCCATTTAACGCAAAGCCAACGCTCGGCCTTTGAGCGTTATACAACATTAAGCGTAACACTAAGGTTATTAATGACAAGCGCTTATTAAATGCCGCTCTAGGATATCTCATTAAATGGCGAATAATATACTCCTGCTCGACCACTGTCTAGAGTCACATTATTAACCTACAAAATATATGTATACGGATCAATACAATCCGCGGTTATTCGTCAAGCGGTTGCTAATCCGAATATATGTAGCTCAACTGTGCTCACTGTCTGTACTGTTCGTTAATTAGCCAGCTTAATCTGTAATTCAATAATCTACGATGACGGCTAACTACCATATACACACTCCGCAGGTTGCAGGTTGAGCGCCTAGCTACGTGTGGATGCGTATTTACGTCTATACATGCGTGAAATGGCTTTGTTAACTCTCTGCATGCGCTATTGTCAATTGATTAAATGGTCTTTATAGTCGACGACTTTCCCGGAAACTTGGTGCAATTTTCGAAGCTATATCACTGTCAATTAGAGAACATTTGTAACAGTTCAACGATTAGGTTGCAGATACACGATGGATGTCGTATTGCGAAAAGGCTTCGTGCAAATCAAACGTGCTCGTATTCTTTACGAGTAGGCAGCTGCAGCTTTCTGAATATATTATCCGTAACAAATTGTCGTACACGTTCCGAATTCACTTCTTTGTCCGTACTGCACGCATTAACAGATTTCCAAGTTCCCTGTATGTACGCGAAAATACGTTTATTTCGTTGATGAAATTTTATATCACTAATATTACTAATTCGCTCTACATAATAATCGTGGATAAAGCTATCACAAATAAAATAGTTTTTACGTAAAACTATTATACCTAATGAGTGAAATAATTTTCCAGCGAAATATAACGACGACCACAACAAGCGAAAAAGAAATAGTATTGAGTCTCGGGTGAGCTAATACCAGTCCATTAATTAATAACGACAAGGTTCCACTGCAAAGCTTGCAGCTTGTCGCTCTCTGCACGCATCGAATTCAGGTGTACGAGCTCTCGTAAGCCGCATGAAGGAATGCAAAGAATAGATTGTAGATAAAGCTTATGAAGAGGAAGCTACGTGAGAATATGCAAATTAGCTGAGAATGATAGAAAATATGCTTAAGGAAGAGTTGACTTTGCATGAAGTCTTATCTTATCTTGACTCGACGTGTTAATATAGATCATTGGAAACTTGATACTGAAATTTCTTCCGGGTTTTTATGATAAATAATTAAAATTATAAAGGAAATATTTGATCGCATTATTCCTTGACGCTGTTCAGCCTTGCCTACTCAAGAAAAGTTTTTATCTTCTTATCTACCGTTACGATAATTAAGAGAGTGCACTTTATAAAGCAAAATTAGCTCGGTGAATTTTGGCTTTTAATGTTTTATCTGCAGTGCATTCAAACATATCCTACGCGTAGGTTTTGCCTCCGAGGCATAATAATAATAATTAGCGACCCGCGGAAAACAACTTAACCCGAATATCAAGTACCTCGGCGGCTCGCGCAAAGAGAATATCTAGAGCGAAGGAGAAACAAAGAAAGTAAGAAAACAGTAGCGCTGCGCGTGAGCGAGCCATTAACAAAATTCAGCCAAGTATAATAATTACGCGTAAGAAAAGTTAGAACCACAGAGCCCCTCCGGGCGGCGGCTGAATTAATTGACTTAACGTCCGAGCGCACACGTGCGCAACCGTCGGAAAAACTGGACAATAGCCTAGTGCGTAGCCAGGACGAGAGGCTCGCTCGGTTGCATCCAATAGATTTTTCATTTTGGTTCGGCTTTAGCTACATCGCTAGTTTGCCTTGTAAAGTTTCTAACAAGAGCTTGCGTATAATTAGAGAGAGGAAAAACTTTCGAGAGCTAGCTGCTGTCCCTCTTTTTTCAACAAAATAGAGAGAGAGAGAGAGAGAGAGCACGGTCAGGAAAAATTCGCTCGAAGTTTGCGCTCACTCCGTGTGCAATGGCTTTTCTACCTCGTTTTTTCACCCTCACTCTTGCGTATTCATTACCCACAACAGCAGCAGCATATTTTCATTGTTCTCATTGAACTCGTTGTCCCGGAAAATCCTTATAATCCTGAAAAGCTATATACTCCCGCACGCTGCAATCTCGGGTTAGTGAAATTAAATCTTGTATCTGTCACGTGCGCGAAATAGTTTTACACGGTAGAAAGAGAGAGATGGAGTGAGGGGGGGGGGGGGCAAAAATCTTACGTTACACTATTCCAGCTATAGGAAGGGGGAGGGGTGTCCGTATACGTGAGGCACGTGGCTGAAAATGCGCAAGCGCCGGTCTGGCCTCGTGCACTCGCTCGAATCACAACTTCACAGGGCTGGTAAACGGACAGTACCTCGCCGGCTGGTCTCTTCTCGCGTTGTCGAGCTACCACTCACCAGTCTACGACTGATCTCACAGACTCGTAAAAACGCGTTCGAATCGAGTTTCCACAACGGGATCCGAAGAATGACGACGTGGGTCGAGTTGAGTGTACAGTGCTCGGCGCTTGAAAAAGTCGAGGACGGCAAAAAAGACGAGGTGAAAGTGAGAACACGACGATTATTGTAAAAGGGAGGGAGGAGAGTTGAAAAGTCGCCGACGACGATGAAAGGGCGCTACGAGGGGGAAACGTGCCTCCTCGACAGGTGGCCGAGCATACTGCGACTCTTACTACTTCTTTCTCTTCTCCTTGCCACCGAGCTGACGACAGGTAATTCTCGCTTTGTTCTTACTGCAACCTAGTTTTTTTACCCTCCTGGCCGCTTGCAAAGACTTTCTACTTCTGCTCGAGAAAGAAAAAGAGTGCAACTCTCGGATACTTTCCTAGATGCTTTAGCGTGCGTGCGCGGCGGCGTGTGTGTGTGTTTGTGTGTGTGTGTTTGTGTCAGCAGTGCGCCGTTCCTGATGACATTCTTTATCGAACTGCTGCTACTGCTAGTGTCGGACGTTGGATATTTCTGATCTACTGGGAATACTAGGCACAGGTCCGAGTTAAAAGTTAACAGTCGCCAAAAATATATTCAGATTGAAGGAAACTGACGATTTACGATTGCTTTCAAAAGTTTTTTAGATGCTCGATAAGAGGTGGCACCATTTGAAAAGATAACAATGCTAAAAATTTATGCCGACGGATTTAGGGGAAACGTTTTCAATTATAGTCTATTAGAAGGCTGTAAATTGGCATTAGCTTGTGCGGTTAGAATGTTTTTTCAAAAAAATAACGAAACAATTTATGTGTATTTTAAATTACTCAATATCTTAATTATTCGTATATTTGTAACAAATTAAAATTTTAAGACCTTATTACCGCGCAATCGATGTTTCGATGTCTAAATTGTATTGCCATTAAATGCAAATTAAAAGTAGCTTCAATTAAAATATTATTGAAAAATAAAAGTAGCAATGAATTTCTTTATCATCTTATCGAGCTCGGAAGCATGGTGCCCTTTTCACACATAACGTTCAAAGCGGAAGACAATGATAAACGTATATATAGACCAAAAAATTCAAAACAGAAGCTTCTTGACTGTAGCATTTATTATTATAACTATTGGTATTGATATGTTGTGCGGTAATACTACTGTTAAAAAGACACATCTGTTTCAATAACTGACATGCGTGGTGCGATACATAGGTTTTCTAATTTAGAATCCGGTGATTGTGGCAGGTATAAAAAAAATTTTCAGTCCATGTGCTGAGGTCATGGCTTATTGAACTGAGGTAGAAAAGCCTCTGTGCTAAGTTTGTTAGAGCTCGACACTTTCATAATTCTCATTTTCATTATCTATACATTTTAACTACAAGATGTGACGAGTAAAAGTAAGCTTAACAATTGATCATTTAACATTTTTATGATACACACAAATATCGATGAATCAGATGCTTAATTGTCCGCTCATATAAAAAAGAGCAAACAATTCGTAGTAGTTGTTCTGAAAATAGTTGTTGTTATACTAGCTTATAGATAGCATTTTCTTTGCTTATTATCACGCGATAGATAAATATTATTATAAAAAAAGAGAAATGCATACTTTTTATGAGCGACAATTTTTTTTATAAACTATTCTCAGTAACATGTAATTTCGAAGTACAAATATCTAAAAAATATATTACTTTATATCAATCTTGTTATGAAACTTCTTAGCATTGTGAAATCATTGCACACTCGAAACAAATCAAAAGACATCTGCAAAAGTCTATACAGCATAAACAACCCAGAAATAAGTCTTGTGGGTTTTTGCAACAGTCGTCATTATTATTATTACTATTGGTATTATTCTGTTCTAGGCTATTAACTCGTTCATCGGCATATCTTTTTGCATCTAAATCATTCGTTGAAATACTCGATTGATTCGTGATCGTTTCTGATGGATCATTCGAAAAATTGACATTGTCGTAGGAATGATCAGAATTGACTTGCATTGGTGATGGTGTTACTATAGTTAAAAGAGACGGAGGTGTCTCAATCACTGATATATGTATTGCGTTATTTGGATTTTCTGATATAGATTTCAGCGATTGTTGTACAGGAACCTTCCAACTATGTGCTGAAGCCATAGCTTCACTATAAGATGGTGGCATATCTTCTGGAATTCCATTAGTTCGTTGGAGCTCGATATTTTGATAGATAGAATGACTTGCAGTACCTGTTAAATTGTCAAAAGTAAATATTCCGATACATAAATAAAAAATTTAGCAGTCAATGTTTTAATAAAACAAATAAATTTTGATATGTCAGAAGCTTGCTGGCTGATGCAATAAACTTTATCTAAATAACAAATACTTTTTGATTGAAATTGATGAAGTAGATTGTTGTTTTTTTCATTTATAAACCTAACTCATGATACTATGTTTCTAATTACTTAAGTTCTGGATTACATTTTTTCATCTATTGCGTGAGAAAGTTCTCGAAAGTGAACATACTCAAAATGTTGTCATGTTAAAAAACACTATATGTATTTGTTTTAAAACTATCGCTGCACAATACAAGCTGCTTGAATTTTTATAACAACTTATAGTTAATGCTTCATGATTTTTCAAAAGTCAAAGAATTTTTAATAATTACAGATGTATTGTCCGAAAAAGGCAAACAACATACTCACTTGACATGTTAATTATTACGTACTACTGGAAACATTCAAAATCTAATTTTACACTTTTGACTAAATACTAATAAACTAAAACTGTTATCATAACAAATTACAACGACCAGATATTTTCATAATAAACATATATAAATTTAAATTGGTAGAAATTCTACACGTGTAGGTGAGATCAACATGCGCCATACTGATGACAGAATGGGATCATTCTTGATAAATGAAATAAGATAGATAAGGATTGTTCATTAGTATCGGATAATCTTACTTAATCTCAATGACGTATACGATATATGATAAAATATCTTATCAGTAATCCATTACACAGACTCTGATATATTTCTTATGATATTGTAGTCATTTTTTAAAATAAATTTAGGATTTTTGTTTCGATTTCTGTACGAGGATATGGTATGTGTACGACCAAACGTATTCTGATAAATACTTTGAATTTTAATTTATTCCAAAAGTTCAGGTTATGTTCTGTTCGTTTAATAATGTTAGCTGAGTATGTATTTTTTAAAGGATTTTCTTAGTATTTTCATAATAGCTAGTTAATCTAAAGGAAAAAGTTCAGTACACATGAATACTTATATATTTTTGTAAAATTCATGAATTATGCAAAGTTTTTTTTAACTATAATCATTTTAAAGAAAATGTGAATGAAATTGAAATATGAACATGAGAGTGACCTCTGTATCATAAAATTTGATAGGACAGTTACGCTTGCGAGGATGCAAATTCAATTTCGTGACCGGAGAAGCGAGTTATACATCCTTCCGGCCGAATGGCCGACCCTCGTCGTAGCGATTCGATTTTGCGGCTCGAGCATGCGAATGATTACCTCGTGACATCAATTTTTTCTATTTTCATATTTCACGTAAGTTTAAAATTGAAATAAACATGAAGTACCGCACTGTTATATCATAAAATTCATCATAGAAATATATTTAAAATATTGTAATATCACGGAAATTAGAGATTAATTAACGAAAGAACGTTGCTATATTTTGTGCAGGAATACCAATCAAACAGTTGTAACAGATAACAATTCGCATGACAGAAGAGATAAAAGAAAGAGAAAATGAACGAGTGTATAACCGTGCCCCATTAAAACAGCACAAAGCCGCGCGCAATGAAAACGATCAGCGTTGAATAGCAATCGGATTTCCCTCCGTTAGTATTTCAATGCATTAACGGTCGGGGGGGAGGAAGCGAGCCGGGAAACAAAATTTTCTCGCTCTCTCTGACTTCCGCACACAGTAACCTTTGAAAATTCCGAAGCCCGTGCATTTCATTGAATGCTGCGTTTATCCTCGTGTCTTTGGGGATATCGATCTCTGCAGAGACATTAAAAGACGTTTCATCAAATCCGATGTGTTCATCAAACACAGGATGCTCAGATATTCTAAATGACGAAAAGTGCTTTTCTTTCTGCATGATTTGTAGAAGCAAAGGCTTAAAACGTAACAATAGAATACAGAGAAATCCCCTCGTGAACACATATTTTTTCATTATCCTTTTGAGTATACCGTATCCCGTACGATATGAATAAACGAAGTCCTCTCAGCGGTGCCTTTCTTTCAACTGTAATACTAAGTATAAGTGTCAAAAATGGAAGAGACAAACTAGTCTATAGGGTGCAATTATACGGATAATTAGCCAATTGATTAAGATTCTTTTGGTAGCAAGGGTGCAAACAGATTTCGCGACGACAGTCCATTCATCTAGGAATAATGTTCGCAGGGAAGTTAAATAAACGAGTTTACAAGGTCACACTATGAATAACTGGAGTTTTACATTGAAACGCCAATAATTTATTTTAACGACTAATCACCGGTTTGATGGAACTGTCTTGTGATCGTTAAATGACTGAGGCTCACGGTACCATATTAGTGTCGAAGCTTGAAAATCAGCAGTCTTTGTGGTATGCAATGAACCTATTGAAAATGCTGCAAGAAAACCGCAACGGTCGAGTGGTAATCACTGTAGAAGCTCGTCCGCGCGCGCGACCGTTGATCGAATAGTTTCAATTAGTACGGCGGCGCGACTATTGCAATTTGCAAAGCCCATACATTCGTACGGCTCTGAATAAATGATTCGCTGCTGGTAGGCTAACCACGTGCGCCAACATTATGAGCTAGTAGTTTCGGGCGCGTTGTTGCTGGCGCTGCTGCTGCTGCTGCTGCTGCTGCTGCTACTGTTTACCTTGCTGGTACACTGCTATTTGCAGCAATAACAAGCTGCACCCAAGTGTCGAACCTCACTTGCCGTCGCGTCGTGTTGTTGGATCTTGAATTGAGTTTCGGCAAACTCGCGCGTTTCAACTTACTGAAGCGGCGCGCGCCGTTGCTTGAGAAATAATGTCGTTTGACTGTTCCGCGAGAGTCAACTTCGGCAACAGGTATTTTCTTTAGAATTGATCTAACTAAATGGAATTTAATTTCAAGGACAAAAAGAAATAAGTTGATTTATGTTTCAGTGCACGCAACGACGGAGAGGTCAGAGCAGCAGCAGCAAAAAATAGTGCGAAAGCTCGAGGCGCCAGCAGTGGTAGATCCCCGCAGCGAGACTTTAGTGCTGCGCTGTGATTACGACTTGCGTGGCAACGAGCTCTACTCGGTCAACTGGTACAAGTACGACAAGATGCTCTTCAGGTATATGCCCAGTCTGACGCCCAAAGGCACGGCTTTTTCCTCGCATCCCGACGACTTTGCCGTGGACATCGCCAAAAGCAACGGCCAACAATTGACACTCGTCAGTCAGCAGGATTATCGCAAGAGTACGCTTTGTTCTTGTTTCTTGACAAAGTATGACGTTAGCTAGGATAAGCGAATAAATTTGGAGAGTCGTCCAAGAGAAATGGCTCAATTACGCCGCTTATCTCTTGGTAAACTCTCCAAAGTTCCCAAAGATAAACGTCTTTGCGCGCGACTAATAGGGCCAAAGTTGACCGAATCGATATTCGCGCGAGCTTGCAAATGGGGATTATTATGCTTGCAGATATGAAGGCTTACGAGGGTACGTACGCATGCGAGGTGTCGCTCGAAAGTCCTTTCTACGCGGACTACGCCGTGGCTAATGTCAGCTCGGCTATTCTACCCAAAAGCAATCCTGTACTCGAGGGACTTGCGCCCTACCAGCTACTTGGTGATCAAGTCGAAATTGTCTGCATGTCGGCGCCAAGTTTGCCCGCGGCCGAGATCAGTCTCAGACTCAACGGAGCTAAGGTACGCTTTCATTACTCGTTCGTATAATCGGTCAGCAGACGCTGTCAATGCCGCTTATTTACAGATTTAATTTTCATTCAAAGCTATAGGCGACGCTAACATAACAACGAAAGCGAGCGAGTCGTTACCGTGTAATTATCTCTCCGCCGGTGCAAAGTTAACGCGTCGTATAACGCGAGGCTAATAATTTTCTAACGCGTTGGAAATTCAATTAAAGCGATGGACGGCCGGCGTCCCGTGGTGATCCAAGGGCTGCTGCTGCCAGTTCGCTCGCCATGTAATTTCAACGAGGCCGAGTGAGCAGGCAAAATTGACAGAGACCGTCAGTCGCTCGTGAGTTTTAAGGGGCAGAGCAGACTGCGCTGCAACTGGGCGTCGATAAATTCGTAATTATCGCGTGCCACAGTGTCGCTTACTCTATTCGTGCTTAAAGCTGACGCGGCAAAGCTTCATGGATATTTTACTTGTACGAGTCTCTCTGAGCTTAATGATTTCATTTTGGCCAGAGAAATTGTTTGGAAGTACGCATTCAATTTTTAATCTGTCGTTTTACATTTTATTCACTTTGTAAGTCGCTTCTTCGGCACGCTATCTCATCGCCAAGTTGATCAATACATTATAATATCTTCGGATTTTTATGCACTTATAGGTTCCTTCGCGCTCTTTAAGCATCTCGAAGCTCTACCCGATCGAAGGTACACCATTGGTATCAACGCGTGTCTCACACAAGTTGTTTATCAGTCGCAATCTCTTTCCCATGGGCAAATTCGATGTCCAATGTAAAGCCATTATTCCTGGAGTTCCCGCGGCGCCCGAGTTCAAGACTGAGAAACGCGTTGGTCTTGCTGCAAATAACCAGAGGCTCGCTCAGGACTGGCTTGGACTGTTTGCTTCCGAAGCGGATCGTCAATGCATTTGCTTGGTTGTTTTTGCAGCCGTACTGCTAGCTTTATGTTTGTAAATAGATATAATAATTCGTCGGCTGTTCCTGTTCCATATTTTCATTCAAGATGTTTCTTATCAATACAACTGTTTCGAAATGTACAACATATTTTACATCACTTACTTGTTCGGCAAAACGATGTGATACTTTATATTTACTTGTATTTTACTACAAACAACTAATCAAAGAGTTGAAATATACAATAAAAACAAAATACCAATACTCCCCGAAAATTTCATTTTCAGTGCTATATCGTTATAATTCTATGTACATAGTGTGCATATTGTATTCTATTATAGGAATAAAAAAATATATTACTAAATAATAAATTAATACCTGTTGGAATAATAAGTTGTATATATGAAGTAGATAACGTACTAATATGACTGTCAATCAGAGAGTTTACTGTGACTCGTGTATGTTAAAAATGTTATTAAATAATTAACATGAGTTGAGTGAAGTTCTTAGTTAACCCTGTCTATGCTATATTTCATACTCTTTCTAGTAGTCATACTTCTTGTTTTCTTTTATTTTGCTGATCTATTGGGTTAAAAGTAAAATGCAACGCTCAAAAACACGACTGTCTGAGAGTTAAAGCAAACGTTGATAAAAAAAGTGGTTAGAAGTACGCAACCGACTGATCTAATTGAAAATTCGCATAATCCATCTCTGTTAAATTAGTTGCTCTATCCGAAGCGTCCAACAAAACTGATAGAGCGAGAGAGAAAGTTCTTTGATTCAATTGTCACAGAAAACTAGGTTAACTTTATTGGCGAAGGAAAGCTTGCAGAGACAGACAGACGCAGCTTACACCTATTGTGTCTCTTAGTGATATACTCAGATAGATATCTGACGATTCAGTTCATTGAAATACAATATTAAACCTGCACATGCGCTCTATATGAAGACAGATGAAGTGCAACAAGCGATTTGACGTGGAAAAAAAATATCATCATCAGATTTTTTTGACGCATCGTTTTTCAAACTCTGATATGGTATGAATGCAGCGGACTTAAAAAAGGGGAAAGCAGTTTCTGAGTTTTTATATACGTGGTTAGCGAAATTCCACTACTATGTACATAGCGAATTCTGCTATCCGTTACTTTTTTCGTGCTAGTCGATAGCCACACGAAGAGATTTATTGGCTGCGAAAACAGTGTGTTCATGATGCGGGCGACACTCTTAAAAGGCTATTTTTCCAACAATTCCGATTTTTTTTTTTAATTTTAAAATATTTAAAAATCCACGCATTTTTCGAATATTTTATTTGATTTTAATAGAATAAATATAACTTGCTATTATATAAAAAATATGAAACTTCCACCAACATATCAGTTATAAATAACTGTGCTACTCACTATATAGCTATTTTCATTATTTATAATTATTATGAAAAAAATATGTATTCACTGCACGAAAATGAAAAATATTCCGAATAGTCGGTGTAAAATCAAAACATCGTACGCAATTCCCACGAGTGCTACAAGTATATCTCAGGTCTGGCGATGCCGAAGGCTCGCAGCAGATAGTAAAGAGCAAATGGCGAGTGAGCCTAACGAACGGATATAACGATAGCTGTCGCCGAGGCGTGCATGACTACATGGCAGATAAGTGCGACATTGCGACATCACTCCCCATGGCTTTCCACCAGAGTATATTTGCTATTGGTTTCATCTGTGAATGTGTGTCTACATACGTGGTGATATTTACAGCTAGATGTGATTAGATGATACGTTCGAGGATTAAAATTTGTTTAATTTAGCCCTACATTAGTTCTCGTTGTGTTTCGATTGTGAATAAAAAGACAATTTAGCGATCAACTCATTCTTGTCTGATTTGTCCTGACGCTTGTCAAATGCGCTCGTGATCGAAGAGAAACTGAAAGAACAGTGCAGCTCGCTTACCATTAATCGAAAAACCACCTTTTAGTTGTATCTTTCGAACTCGAACCTATTTCACTTCAATTACATTTATTACCGCAACGCTCATTTTCTTTACTGATTATCGCATGGTTTCAGTTGAACAGTGCTACTTGATTTTCAAAAACTCGTATATTTTTAACTAGATATGTTTTCTTCGTACTGTTTGTTGAAAAATCATTACTTTTGGTTAGCCCGCAAAATCGTATTCAGCGTAATTTAGTTATTTTTTTGTCCCAAGAGATGCCAAAACATGATCGGTATGAACGTTTACTTACATTCAAGTCTTTCCTGGAGAGAAATTTAAAAATATTTGAACTCACAAATACACACGAACATAAGAAAATAATAAAAGGAGAAATTGTAAAAAAAGTGAGTTCGAGTTTTTTAATGATCGTAAAGTATTCACGAGCCTGAAACGTTCGTGAATAGAACTATAAAAGCGAGATAACGATAGCTACTTTTCGTTCACGAAGCTTGCATTGGTAATCGTCTCCGATCTATACGAAGAAAGAAAAAAAGGAAAGAAAGAAATCTCCATCGAAACCGGTCACTCGATTAGGTTAATGCTGGATCTTGCGCGCGAACTTTTCCGACGACGCAGCAGCAGCTCTCCTCGTCTTTCTTGGCTACAGTACTCGCCGTTTTACTACCTCTGACGTGATCCGATTTGGAAATAGCCCCGAGCTCTTCACCGCCTTACCGCCTGTCTCTCTCTTTCTCTCTTTCTCTCTCTCACACACATACTTTTGCATAGGTGTACGCTTACATAGCTCACTTCTTTTTTCTTTTTGTTTCTCGAACTTTTTCCCTCCGATTTTTATTTGGCTGCCTCGCTCGCGCGCGGAAAGCTGTAAAACAAGCACCGACAGAGAATTCTTAAACGTAAACTACACTTTTCCTGGTACTGTTCTATTTTATTGGACTATATTTTTTGTATGTTGCTGAAAATTTAAATTTAGAGTGATATTTCACAAGTTTTTTTTTCAACATTTAATCTTGATCGCAAACGTTTTGAAAGTCTAAATATTTGCATTGAAAAATCATTAACAAAGAATCTTATTGAAATACGTTTTAAAATACTCGGAAAATGATAAATTCCGGCGTTCTTTTATAAAGATCTTTTCAATTAAATTTAATGAAACACGCACATCTCTTCAGTTTTACTTTTATATATAACCTCTCAAATGTCGTCAAATACCAGAAAGATTATAAATTTTCCTTCTTTTTTCCAAAGTTAATTAATTTTGTATTACCAATATCATTTGTTGCAAGAATAGTCGATTTATATCACCTTTAGACAGAAAAGGATATCAAAAATCTTAACAAATATGCGTTTATCGTTTCGGCCTATTAGCCTATCCAAAGTGGTCATGACGCTGGCCTCATTTTTTCTTTCGGAAGTTCTATATGTTCAGGAACTTGAGTGTAACAGTTTCACTTCCTCTTTTTATGCGCATACGATTGGAAAGAAGAGATGCTTAACTTAATGTGCCATAGACTGAGTCGTCTGAAAAGTTTCCAGGTCACTTAAATTTCGTTAACGGTATGTTAGTAGCGTGTCTATCAATCTTTGAGAATTTATCTAACACACGCGTACAATGATTTCTTTCTAATTTTAGAATCTTGATAGTCTTTCCTTAAAATAGTAAATCTACGTGAACATATTTTTATTTCTAGTCGATTTTCAAAAATGAGTTGACCTATCAATAGTACTAATGAACTGTACGCGAGACGTAGCGACTCTAAACGTGTTACATTGGTAACCGTCTGTATTAAGTGCCACTTGGTTCGTTAAACCATTCAAACAATCTGAACAGAAGCAGCAAATTTAGCTGACAAGTTGTAGCTAACAAGATAACGGGGGAGTTTTTGTAACAACATTAAACACTGTGGATGATTGAGGCAATGAAAACAAATATCTTTTTTAATTAATAATTATTACCGAACTATTCGGTTCGCCAATATGCACCATTTACACAAAGATTTCGCAATCGACGCTTTCGTAGCTCGCGCGGCAATTAAGAATCTCCACTCATGAGTATAAATTCGAAATGTAAATCTGAACTCCCTCCCTCTCTCGATGTGCGCTGGCGCGAGTATGTCATCGCATAAATTTAGCGGTTATACGATGGTAGAAGGTTTGGTTGAATCCTGTCGCAGCATTAATGGCAGCCTCGAAAAGCACTCACCCTCTCTCTGCCCTTTTCTCCATCAGCTCCTCTTTAAACATCGCTTGCGCAGCCTTGGTGGCGAAACCTTCCTAATGGGATATCGATATATTCACCACCAACCTATTTCATTTAAGTTCTTCGGTGAAAAGTGCTTCTATATATACAGATAGCTGTGCAGGCCAATGCATCGTTTGATGCTTGATAATAAAGAAAAATATCGAAAAGAGTTGGAAAATAATACGGCAATTGAATTCCCCTATCTCGAATATTATACTTGTTTTCGTGAAAAAAATAGATGGACACGATTTTAAGCACGCACGAGAGATAAATCGATCAGATTGATTATACGTAAGCCTGAATTCCAATCACGCTTGAGTTTATCCTCGTCTGATCCTGTAATTTATCACAGTGCTATCACATCAAAAGTTACAAGTTTAGTTTCTTTATTTGCGAGACAAACTTGATCGCAACATTTCAGTCGCCATAGATGATAAATGACCAGGCAATGACCTTTACCACCGCGATTGTTTTCAGCCTCAATTTAGAGTGGCGCGCATTTCCCATAACAAAAGCCACCGGCTTCCAAATCCATCGCTCATATCTCTCTAATGGTGACACCGCGTTTTTGGCAGTAAATTCCAGGCTACGAGAGAGAGAGAGAGACGAAGTTGCTGAAGTGAATTCCCAATAGCTCTATATCGCTCGAGGAATGGCACCATCACCACCACCACCACCACCACCGAATAATATGTCACCGATTGCACGCTCCACTGACTTTCCTTCTCGCGCGAAGATCCTCGACGCGACGCTACTGCTGTCTCTCCTGTAAATTATTAGCTGTGCTAACCTGGCGATCTCAGAGAGGGAGGCAGACATCTATTGTGTGGCAAATTTCGCGGCTGGCTAGCTATGTACTTAGGATTTAAGGACTGTATTATTGGCGTTAACTGAGATATTATGAAATATTATGATTGAATAAAGCTTTGATGCATATTATAGTTATTTTTTATAGCTATGGTTCTTTATTATAATTAAAAATACATAGTGTTACAGCATAACCGACGATTAACAGAAGTAGATAAGCCAGGAAAAGTATCAAATCAATAAAACTAGAATCGAGCAATACTAGTAATGCCAGCAATTTCATCGATGCAATGCCTATGAAGTAAAATTCTTACCTATTTATTCAATCTAATTATGTAGATCGAAGGGTGATCTCGAGGCGATCAAAATTAATCGAACGTGATGTTGAGTCTTTCATATATGTCATAAATTATCTACTGGGTGAGTTAACATGAGAATTAATAGTCTGTTTCA